AGGCCTGATTTTTTTCAGGTCTGATTTTCGCTATTGCATACATAGCGCTATCTACTGCGAGGATCGTGCATCATACGTATCTAATACCGCAGTTCAAAATATATGAACTTCATATATTCATTGTATCTCTCAGAGTAAGATAGTTTAAGTTTTGAAACAGGCGTGACAGTGGATTCATTTGAAAAAGTCTGTGACTTTACTTTGTACTGACGCTTTCAGTTTGCGACTCTGCCAAGTGGACTGAATATTAGACAGAACCTTTGAAAGGTCATTCGCCGTTTCTGATAGGTTTTCACTGGTAAGATATTCAATCACGTTCTCCAGGATTACCATAGCTTCATTCAGTGATTTGACTTTAGGCTCCTTTGACGCGGCATTGACTTCAATAATATCCTCAACACTTTCGTCGTCTGGTGAATTCTCAGAAGTGGATGCGGATAGACTGGAGAAAAATTGCTCCTCCCAGTTAGCGGTCATCTCGGCGCACGTTGGTAGAGTAGAATCTGCTTTTAAGGCTTCACCTGCCGAAGGTACATCTATGCCAGATGCGCAACTTGCATCGCGCAGCAATGAATTCACCTGCACCAATTCACTATCTTCTAGTTCCTGAAATGGATCAGATTCTTGGTGTTCCTCAGGAAATGAAACTAGAGATTCGTCTTCCGAAAGAAAACCAGCCTTTTTAAAGCATTTCTTGAAAGTTGATTCTGACACGTTTTCCCAGGCTTGGGAAATTCACCTAATGGCTTGGAGTAAATCCACAGACTTGGACACCTCAGTGGCAGAGTTTCAGTCATCTATTTTTCTAACGACATGTGTCAGCATCAGTTTCATTCATTTTAGCTTGAATGTTTGAATTATTCCAAGATCAAGAGACTGGAGTCTGGATGTACAATTTGGTGGGAAAAACACAATCTTGACGTGATCGTATTTGCCTTTCATATTTGGAGGATGGTAAGGGGCATTGTCGAGAAATAATAACATTCCTTCGCTCTCGTGCTAATTTCCGGTTAAGCTTGGATAGCACGTCATCTAGGATGTTAAAATCCATCCAGGCTTTAGGCTGACTGAAGTATGAGAAGGGCAGTTGAGACGTACTCCTGATTGTTATGAAGCAACGCGGATTTTTTTACTTGCCGGTAACAATCGGTTTTTCTTTACCGCCCGCTGCATTAAAATGCGCACGTTATTCTTTCTTTGCATTTTTCCATCCAGTACACTGCTTTGATACCTCGGCTAGAGATCTGTTTGGAAGTGCTCGAAAAAATTGACCCGTCTCGTCCATGTTGAAGATGTTCTCTGGGGAGTAGCTGCTCAAGATATTCGGCCAAGCGCTCTTGCCAAGATGTCACAGTTTCCTCCCTAACACCTCCTGCCTCACCCCTTATGACTTTGATTTTAATGTTATACCTTTTCTTGAATCTGTGAAGCCATCCATTAGACGCTGTGAATTCTGAGTCTCGAAGCTCTTCACTTGCTTGTTTTGGCTTTTTCTTGCAGCATTGGTCCGGTCACTAGAATGTTCTTGATTCTTGCCTTTTAGTACCATTCCTACGTTGCCTCGTCAATATTTTGCATTTACGATGCTCTAGCTCGTTTAGAGAGTGCATTCTTGTTTGCGCTGTAGTCGTCTAACATTTCAGTTCTCTTGGCTAAAATAGACTGAATCTGCGATTTGCCACAATCAAACTCCTCAGCAATTGCTCGCACGTTAGCATTTGGGTTTTCCATTTAGTACTCAATGGCCAGAACCTTTTCAGAAACAGTAAAATCTTCTCTTTTGCGCTTAGCTGAAGGACCCGAAGCCATGATGCGATGGTTGTGACAGCACGTTACCTGGTACACATCGACTTGTCAAGACTGACAAGCTGTCACATAACGCAGGCCGCAACTATACTTCACACCTCACACTACAGAGACCGGCACATTATGTAGTGTGTCAACTAAGACTGAGAGGGTCCCGAAAAGTATGAGTGACAACCGAATTCTGAGAATTTCTTCCTGGATAAGAGGATTTCATGTTTACAAGAACTGGTGGACTCCTACATGTGGTGAAATTTTACCTTTGCAACCAGAGCCGGAAAATCCCGAGGACAAAAATGTAGTCGCCGTGTTAAAAGAAAGTCGAGTTATAGGCCACAATCTATTTCATCTTGCGAACACCGAAAACCGCCTACCAACCAAGGATCGGTAGAAGTATGTGGAAAGGCAGTCAATCGGGGTGGAGGTCTTGGTATGGAAATACCATGTGTTTACATTTTTGATGGTCCTCCGAAACACGTGGATTTTCTTGAACAATTCAGTGCTAAACGTTGCCAACAACCCAGCAATCCCAGCAATACGAGCGGAGGATGATGATGGTGCAGCTCGCAGCTAGCAAGGAAACAACGTCAAAGAGAAAGAAGGTGAAGAGCCATGACTGCAACAAAGAGCCAAGGAAGTGAAACGTTTGTAACAGGAGGCGAAAAACTTAATTAAAGGACTACGCAGTACAAGAGTC